CTGTTGCCCCCGTATTGAATGGTATGACTGTCGTGTGTTTTAAATTATGCATTGTTATGTGTCGTTTTTTTAATTTTTTGTCTGTATCCCCCTTCCCTGGTTTGAGTTGTGAGCCGCCCTGAGTTCCCCTCGGGGGAAAAGGGCGGCATATAAATATAATAAACAAACAAACAACAAACAAACCTTGGAGGTCATCTAGTCTAACTCCCTTTTCAAGCAGTAAACAATAGCCCAAGGAACCACCAAGGCCACTTTCACCAATACTGTCAGGGAAAGCCATTAGTATAGGAATGAGCAAACCCCACTCCCTAGTAGCACTGATGGTGTTACCTAGTTTGGTAAGGAAATATATGCAAGAAAACCACCAAGTTCAGAGAGCATCAAGGACCCTACTATTATGAAAGAATTTAAACTAAAATAAACCTATTACTTTGGAATGATAGAAAATGAAAACATATCTGTCCTTCAATTATGTGTCCTACAAAAACATAAGTACAAAAGGAAAGCAGTTCAGGTAACTAATCTATTAATAATCAGGAAACTTACTTTCTTTAAGTTCTTGCTCCAATGCTGACAATTATTGTTAATGTTCTTAAATAGTATGTTTGCTTTACGTTCTTATTTCTTAATGCTTAAATAGTAGTGCTTATGTTATTATTTCTTTCTTTTGGGAAACATTCTTTTGGGAACATTGTTACAATAAATGGCATACTTTATTTCAGGTTCATAGTAAAAAACAAAACAAAAATGCCTGTTGTTTCAGAGATATCTGCATATTTTGGACTTGGTTCATCAGTAACATATAATTTTCAAGAATCCTACAATGTTGCCAAGAACTCCAGTTCACATGCTGCTTCTTTTCATCCTGATATGACGCTAACAAGAGAAGCGATCACACTGAACTTTCGAACAACACGGATTCCAAGTTTGCTTCTTTATGTAAACTCATTCTACAAGGAGTATCTTTCAGTTATTCTTGCCAAAAATGGTATGTATTCTTAATAGTTATACTAAAGCTGTCATTAGTTTTATTTTGGAAATTACTTGTTTAACATGATATTTTCTCCAGGACATATTTTGCTCCTCTTCCTTGATTATAATATTACCCTATTAAAACTATATTTGATGGTAGGAAATATATAAATTGCCCTAATATATAGTAAGATCAAATATGATAAATTATAGGTTAGTTTTAATAGAGATCGGGCCATTTTTTTGCTCAATTCCCCCCCAGCCTATATAAGGTTCCTAAAGATTATCCATGCTCTTTGTTTGACAATAAATGGGCCCGTTTTTGTGAAAAATGGCCTTTTTTTGTTAATTTTCCCCCCCCCGCCTCTGGAACACTCTACAAGCCTCCTAAGGGCTATTCATGCCCTTTTGGGGGGGGG